GTACGCCCTCTGGTGGAGAAAGTGGACAGACCTCCAGATCCCAACAATAAATAAGATTTCCATATGAAGCTTTGGTGAAATATTTTACTAAATATCTATGTTTTGCAACATGTATCAATATATTTCAATAAGTGAGAATATTGAAGATGCCCATGGCTTCAGGTAGAGAGCTGAAAGTGTCTAGGAATATTCATCATAGGAGGAAGCCAGCAGATGTAGAGCAGCCATAGAGCTGCAGCCATAGAGCAGCCGTAGAGCTGCAGCAATAGATCAGCCGTAGAGCAGCCATAGAGAGCAGCTGTAGTGAGCAGCCGTAGAAAGCTGCTGTGTAGAGCAGCCGTAGAGAGCAGCCGTGTAGAGCAGCCATAGTGAGCAGCCGTAGAAAGCAGCTGTGTAGAGCAGCCGTAGAGAGCAGCTGTAGAGAGCAGCCATAGAGCAGCCGTAGAAAGCAGCCATAGAGCTGCAGCAATAGATCAGCCGTAGAGCAGCCATAGAGAGCAGCCGTAGAGAGCAGCCATACAGAGCAGCCGTAGAGAGCAGCCGTAGAGAGCAGCCGTAGAGAGCAGCCGTAGAGAGCAGCCATAGAGCAGCCGTAGAGAGCAGCCGTAGAGAGCAGCCGTAGAGAGCAGCCATAGAGCTGCAGCAATAGATCAGCCGTAGAGCAGCCATAGAGAGCAGCCATACAGAGCAGCCGTAGAGCAGCCGTAGAGAGCAGCCGTAGAGAGCAGCCGTAGAGAGCAGCCGTAGAGAGCAGCCATAGAGAGCAGCCAGAGAGCAGCCGTAGAGAGCAGCCGTAGAGAGCAGCCGTAGAGCAGCCATAGAGCAGCCATAGAGAGCAGCCGTAGAGAAAAAAGCTCAATCTTAGTCTCATCTGACCAAAGCACAGGATCCCAGTTGAAGTCCCAGTGCCGCTTAGCAAACTGCAGACGTTTATGTTTGTGAGTGTTGGTGAGAAAAAGCTTTTCCTTGCATGCCTTCCAAACAGCTCGTTGGCATGAGAGCGTCTGATGGTTGTTTTGGAGACTTTGTGACCCAAAGACTCTTTGTTCCAATTCTGTGACAGTGAGCGTAGGACTTTTTTTATTTTCTTACCATCTTCCTCACTGTGGGCTGTGGCAAGATAAACTTGCGACCTCTTCCAGCCGTGTTTGTCATTGTTCCAGTTGTTTAAACTTCTTAATGATTCCTCTGACTATAGATGAAGGCAAGTTAAGGCAAGTGGCTATTTTCTTGTAACCATTGCCTGACTTATGAAGGTCGACGCACACCTGCCTTACTTGAATTGTGTGTTCTCTAGTCTTTGCCATGCTGACTAATTGGTAAGAGATTTAGGCCTCTGCGTCACGTCATATTTATACCCCAGGGAAACAGGAAGTCATGAATTACTAATTAAAAGTTCCTAGATACCCTGACCAACTTTAGCAACTACAGGAAAATAGATGTAAAGGAAATCAATTATATTTTTAGCGGAATTGTTAGGGGTGCCAATAAATGTGGGACACATGATTTCATGGTTTTTATTTTCTAAATGTGTGATTTTATTTTTACCACCAAAGTAATGTACTTAAATAAAATGTTGGATTTTTCTCTTTTTTTGCATTTTGGTTCTTTGTTGTTTAAAAAAAAAAGGAGAATTTTTTTAAATCTTTCACTACATCTTAAACGGGGGTGCCAATCATTGCGGAGGGCGTTGTATCTTCTATTGTCCTGCATTCGCTCTAGCAGCAGTTTCCAAAGTGGCTCTCCCAGCAGCTCACCCGTCTCCCTGGAGTCCATCCCAGTCTTGTCCAGGTCTGCTATTCCCTGATACAGATCAAGAGGAGAACAGGAGAAGTTGTTAAAGGTGGCATTTAGGAACCAACGTTTTTACTGCTTGGTAGCTGGTCTAACAGCTGAGGAGCACCTGTGATCACATGCTGTGTGGGAAAACCTAGGATGCATTTTTATCCCTGCTGTAGGTGTTTCTCTGCAGGAATCTTTATAAACCTGAATGTTTGAAAAGGGCTGAACTGAAGGGCTTTGTTCTAGTTAAACCTCTTTGCTAAGAGAAATGCTTTCAAAGACGAATTGAAATCCGGTAATTCTGCTGTCTGACTCTGTGAATGTGAACCCTCACCTGGACGTACTACCTTAAACCCTTCATTCACTCTATTTATCGGGCTGCAGGAATAAACGCCTTAAGTCCGGCTCTGTGGAGGAGGAAGCTGACAGTCCAGGAGGGGAGTACTACCACTCACCTGCTTCTCCTGCCAGCAGCTCCAGGAACTGGCCCGATGACTTGGAAGGAGGTAAGAAACAAAAACCATCCTAAACTTCCCATTAGAACCAGTTAGCCAGAGACACAGGCTGAGGCTGAAGCTACA